CCCAGGCTGAAATGCAGTGGTGCCATGTCAGCTCATTGCAACCTCTGCCTCCCAGTTTCAAGCGATTCTCCTGCCTCAGCCTCCTGAGTAGCTGGGACTAAAGGCACGTGCTACCACACCGGGCTAATTTTTGTATTTTTAGTAGAGACGGGGTTTCACCATGTTGGCCAGGCTGCCAGGTGGTATTATCTCATGTTTTGCATTCTGTGTCTTACTTTTGGGCTGAAACAACATGGGTTTAGGATGCATTCATGTTGTCATGTGTACACCTGTTCTGCCTGTCTTGGTTTGGGTTCCCTTGAAGCAGATCCCAAGGGCCTCACCTCCTAATATCAACCTTGGAGGTTAGGGTTTCAAAATATAAATTCTGAGCGGACACAAATATTCAATCCATAGCAAGACTCTAGTGAGAATCTGTGGATGTGGTTTGATTTTGCATATATTTATTCTTCTTTTTTTTTTTTTTTTTTGGCATGATACTGCTTTTCCAATGGAAATTCAAATGTTGGTTTTCTGTTTGTTTTGTTTTGTTTTGAGACGGCGTCTTGCTCTGTCTCCAGGCTGGAGTGCAGTGGCACGATCTCGGCTCACTGCAACCTCCGACTCCCTGGTTCAAGTGATTCTCCTGCCTCAGCCTCCTGAGTAGCTGGGATTACAGGCACAAGCCACCACGCCCAGCTAATTTTTGTATTTTCAGCAGAGATGGGGGTTCACCATGTTGGCCAGGATGGTCTCAATCTCCCGACCTCGCGATCTGCCTGCCTCGGCCTCCCAAAGTGCTGGGATTACGGGCGTGAGCCACCGTGCCTGGCCAAAATTCAAATGTATTTTAATAAAAAAGCAAGTCAGTGTAAAGTCAAGTCTTACTTAAATAATAATAGACATGGTTTCATGGCATAGTTGAGGCTGGAAGGTGAGTTGCTAACAAACAGCCAATCCCGCCCTTGATGGCCAGAAAGGAAGACTGAAAGGGTGAGCCTGCCCAAGGGCACTCAGGGTCAAAAGCAGCTGAGCTGCCAACCAGGCCAAGGGCATCTGGGCAGCTTTGCCAGGCCCCTGCCGTACAACCTTGGGTTTCACCTTGGCCAACTAAGCCCAGCCACCCACTAAACATGGCGGGAATTCTGGGGTTGGAGGCCAACCAACCACTCCACCATATCCCTGGTGCGGTACCTGGGGCAAGTGGCCCCATTGCTCTGGGCCTCAGTTTCTCCATCTGTACAAAAAGATTATGAATCCCTTAATCTGGACTAGGGGAAGAGAGTGTTGGGATCAGTCAGTGGGCAGGGTGATATGATGGAAAAAGGCAGAGAAGCCCAGATCCTCCCCTTCCCATCTATCGGAGTTTGGGGAGATGGCCTCACTTCTCTGGAAAATGGGAGTGAGGGTTGTTGTGAAGCTTCAAGGGGATACAGTGTGTGTGTGTGTGTGTGTTGCAGGGGGAGAGGCAGAGATAAACCTGGGCAAGTATGTCTAGGTCAAGTTGCATGGGTTTTTTACCCTGAGATGAGGAAAACCTTGTGGCTGCTCCCCAGCAAGTGAAACGTGCTCGCTTGAGTGAGAGGAGATGGTATTTTTGTGGGTTTTTTGTTTGTTTGTTTTTGGTGTTGCTGTTTTCCCTACACCAAAATCTGCCTCTCCTTTGGGTTGGCAAGATCCTGAGGGGTGTAATTCCAGCCAGGAAGCCTGGGAGAGCTGAATCCACTGAGGCCTATGATTGTGCCTCTCTCTGGCTGCACTAGTGACTGTCCAGGCGTTTCTCACCTTGAAAGGAGTTTTGTTCTCCAGATAATGCTCAATGTCACCTGGGAAGATCACGCCAACCGTCCAGGTGCCCAGAAACCTAAATGAGGCATTATAACCCGAAACCACATCCGACCAGGCTGCAATTAGCTGGAATCCACCTAAGGGAAGCTTGAAAGGGACTGAATATTTTCTCCTCTGGTTCAGTGCTTAACTTTTAATAGCAGTTAACAGTTTCCGGGCGCTCACTAGGCTTCAGTCTAAGCAATTGCATAGGTAAGCACTCATTACCTATAAACCTTGTGGCCACCTGATGAGGTAGATACTATTATCACTGTTCCCATTTTACAGATGGCAAAACTGAGGCTCAGGAAGCAAGCCATAGAACTGAGACTCAGACTTAGGGAATCAGGCTCGGGTTCTGGGCCCAAAGTGATATTAAGGATTTAATTTAAAGGCCAACGAACCCAGTGGCTTACTAGAGCTGCCCAGGGTTAGGGCATGGTCAACTCTCCTGACAGCCCTGCCCAAGGGGCACGGATGATTCCAGAGAAGCCAAACGAAGGCAGAATCTCAGGAGGAGAAATGGGATTGGGAGTTTAGAGGTGGTTGCTAGGGACTTGATATGTCAAACCAAGTTTCCTTCTTCTTCTGGCTTCTATGTCTTTCTCTGTAAACTGGAGGAGTTGATCAATCATTCATTCAACTTTAATGTGCCCAGCTCAGTGTGACTCCTTAACCCCCTACCCCCAGGATACAGTGGTGAACAGAACGTAGTCCCCACCTTCAAGGAGCTTAGAGTTTTGTGGGCAAGACAGACCCACAAGATATAGCCATATGTCCATGTGCTCATCCATTTATTTTTTATTGCGTGTCTACAATGTTGCAGGAACTGTTCTGGGTCCTGGGGATTCAGCAGTGAGGAAAACAGACAAAGCCCCTCCTTATGGAACATAGACTCTGGAGGGAGAGAGACAGGGAGGAAATAAGCAAGTCAATATGTAATACGCTAGATGTCAATAAGTGCCCTAGAGAAAAATGAAGCGTTGGAGGGAGATAGCAAGTGACTGGGTAATTGGGGGATGGTCATGGAAAGCCCCATGAGAAGGTGACCTTTGAGCTGGGCCTGAAGAAGGTGACGGAGGGAGCCACGTGGAGAGGTGTCAGAGGAATATTACAAGCAGAGTGGGGAGCAGGTGCAAAGGCCCTGAGGTGAGTGTGCTCTTGGCACATTTGAGGATAAAAAGAGGCCCATGTGACTAGAAGAAATGAGGATAGGAAAGAGCGGTGGAACTTGTAGTAGAGATAAGGTCTTATTCTGTTGCCGAGGCTGGAGTGCAGTGGCGCAATCACAGCTCACTGCAGTCTCAACCTCCTGGGGCTCAAGCAATCCTCCCACCTCAGCCTCCCAAGTAGCTGGGGCTACAGGTATGCACCACCATGCCTGGCTAAGATATATATATATTTTTTAGAGATCTATCGCCAGGCTGGAGTACAGTGGCGTGATCTTGGCTCACTCCAACCTCTGCCTCTTGGGTTCAAGTGATTCTCCTGCCTCAGCCTCCTGAGTAGCTGGGACTACAGGCATGTGCCACCACGCCCGGCTAATTTTGTATTTTTAGTGGAGACGGGTTTCTCCATGTTG